ATGGTCCAAGAGAGCAAAGTACCATTGAAATTGACTTATTAGTGCAGTAAATGAACTTTGCTTCAATTTAATAAGGGCAATTATTTCCTGCATTTACTACTGCGTGTAAATAACCCCAATTGCCGTAAAAAAGAGAAATTTTATACAAGTCAAAGATGTTGCAAATGTATTGCTTAATAGTATTTTTTCTGGATATTGTCAATTACTTAAATCCATTGGTTTTCCCAGTGTAGTTTGGAAAGTGATTTACATTTCTCTAAATTATCTCGGTTCAATTTTGTTCCATTAACACAACTGTACCTCAACCGATAAATAAATAAATAACTTTTAAATGGTATGATAAAAAATATAATACGCACTAAAAGAATTATTATGGACGTATAAAATAAGGCACAAAATTCCTCAACTTTCGGACACAAAGTAAAAATATATATATGTATAAGTGTAAAAGTTATTGGGTCTCTCTAGTAAAGAAATGTATGGAAGAAAGTTTACATATTCACTGTGGTGATTCCCTTTGCTGGTAGACGTGTGGGTGAAGGAATGACAGATGGATCGATAAGGTTTGGCGCGCGCTTGGTGCCATAATTGTCTAGCATAATGGCCAGCTGTTCAGGACTTATTCGTTTCGCGCCGTCAGTAGAGAGATGTCGTTTAGGACATTTAGGGAAGTAATGTTCGTTGGGAGGAGTTGGCGTTGTTGGAGAATTCGGTTGAGTTTTAGCTTTGCGTATTGCAAACTTTTCTCCGTTGTCATCTGCATTGATTGATAATAAAGCTTGCTGGCTGGCCTCTTCTTTCTCCTTTTTCCGAGTTTCTTCGAGGAGAGGCTCAGATTTGACAGCCCTTGCAGTTTTTTTCGATGCTTTCCTGTCTCTGTTATAACGAGAAAATGTTACGCTTTTCAGGCCTCATCTCACAAAATTAAATCAAAGCATTAGAAAACGGGAGAAAATCATTGCAATTCTGCTTTTAAGTGCACTAGATCTACAAAATGCTCTATTTCGCCCTATAAGCTTGGGTGAATTTGACGCAAGATAAAGAACATTGACAAACAATGATATGAATATGCATTGTTTCGCGCTAATTGGATTAACAAGCGTGTGAAAAACATTTAAACTTGTGATTTTATTGCCTAGACCTCAGAGGAAGATCTGACAGAATTTGATTTTGTAATCAGGTAAATTAATTGGATTTTCCCACTGTTAGTTGAATTTGTCAAAATGAACATTTACTGAGACATTTTACTTTTACATTTAATTGGTTTATAAAAATGCTACTTGTAACATTTTGGGCAGAGATCTAACTTAACTGATTGGCTGACTAATTACAGAGATTTCAGACGAAGTAAAAAGCTATAAGATTAAGCAAAATTGTTACAAGTGCTATAACTGACACCTTTCTGTCATAGATTCCTTGAAATTATATTTCTTAATTTTACTGGGAACAGTTGGAGAAGATAACAAAGAAAAATGTTACTTTCCGTACAACGAATTTCATTAAACCAGAACAGATGTTGATAAATCGAATAAAAAATAAGGCACTGTCAATTCTCGAAAAGTCATAAAAACAAACAAATGTGATAAAATCATAAAATAGGGAATATTGAAAAAACAGAAAAGTGCAAATGCCTCGTGTTAAATGAAAGGAGCAATTTATTGAGGTTTATGAATTTCCAAGCTTCAGGAAATATTTCAGTGTTGCAATCCAAGCTTATAAAAGTCGAAATTCAAATGACTGCATTTCCTTTGTTAAATGTGGAATTTACAGAATGTCAACTAAAGCAAACTTTCCTTCAAAAAAATAATTTCTGATGAAATACTCTTGCTGCATATATTTATTTCCAACTCACCGAAAACCATCATGTAACGGTTTGAAAATAATATTAAGTGGAAACTAAGAAAAGAACCCATATTAGTGACTTACATTACAGCCTTAACAACAGATGCTACCCAACACACAACGTGGAAAGCTATCAAGATGGCTAGAAAGACGATAACCCCGGTTGACAGCTCGTTTTCTTCTTTCATTTTTTTCGAGGATGGGAGAAAATAGGTGTCACGATCTGTCTTCTAAATCACCCACCGAATTTCTGTGCATGTAAATGGCTCCGGTTCAGAATTTTAATAAAACCGCACAATAAACAACCAACCAGAAACATGCGTTTGCATTGATTGACGCTATACCTTGCTGTGATTGGAGGATGCGTGGTGCATGGGTGAGTGCTCTTAGATGGTATTGCGTATGCAAAGATATGCCTATTTTGCATCTGTTGGGATTCATATGCATATCCTCATGGGTGCATGGATTTATTAACACCATTTACAGTATTTGTTGGCAATAGGCGTATATATATATATATATAGCCAGATGCTTTAAAATATTCTCATGGTCAGAAATCCAGAAACTAATAGTAATTAATAAAATAAAATAATAATAAAAACTCAGTCATTAGCTAGAGTAAATACTGCCAACTCAGTCTTGCGAAATTTCCATGCACGCTGCCCCAATTCCACAAATAGTATTTCCAATTTCTGTTCGCTTTTTGATGTTAGCATTAATGAAGATCACTGGCATAAACGTATGTTATATACTTCATATTAAGAAATATTTGAAGATAAAATATCGCTGTTGTCAAATTTCTTGATATTTATTAATAATGGAAATATATCAAGTATCAATTGCTCGAACGGTGAAATCAGTTAAAACAATGCGACGTTATGTTTAATTTCGCCAAATGTATGAATTGTGTATTAACACAACATGATGAATGAACAAAGAACGAGCAGAAAAAATATGGTAACAAAGAAAAGTACATTAAAACCTCTCTTTTAATAACCAATCTATAGCTACCCTACAAATGAAAAATCAATACAAAGTAAGCCTTTACATAGAGGAACTCATTTATAGGAACTTCATGATTTCACTTTGTAAATCTAAGTCGACAGTGAAATCAAGCTAAAAATATACCAATAATCGATGATTATCAACTTATCAACCCAAAGTTTAAAACAATGCAGGGACTATTGTCATGCAGAAGGGCGAATGTTCACATTCTCACCTAATTATATGACTTTCAAATTAGAGGCAACTATTGAACCCGAACCATAGCTTGAAGTAAATAACAATTTTAAAGGTGGAGAACAAGGAGTTGTGTAGGCCAACGTGTATTGAATAGATCACAATGAAAATTCGAGAAAGTAAGAGAGAAACGGGGAACGTAGGAGACGAAAGGCCAGATTAGCATCAAGCGTATGCCTATGTGCGTGATGTGTGTGTGTGTGTGTGTGTGGTGTCGTGGTGAGATATAGGTGCAGGAATACTTTAAAGTTATCTAGGCGGTTATAATTAATACGAGAATTGATCGACTTATCTTGATATGTTAGTTGGGTGTGCAAGTCATTGGGTCACAAGAGTGATAAAATCAACGTATTTTCACAATCATAAACACAGGGAGTCAACTTTCATGGTGTCTATTCTAGATCAAAATCCCACTGTTGATTGAATCACTAATTAAATTAACCTATTATGAACTTTGTTAGAATACTTTAACAAAGATTTTTATTATTTAGAAAAGTTTAAGGATTTTTGTCGAGAATTCAAAGGTTGCTAATTGAATTTCTTCCCTCTTTTTATGCAACTTCCTTGATTTAACTATAAAACTTCGAGGCCTTTAATTGGTCATAGTCTCTTTAAGCCAAAAGAACTTATTGGCCGAAGTAAAATGAAAAAAATAGCGCTCAATTTGCAATTCTATGTCTTCCTCTCTCTTTATCACTGCTCAAAGAGCACTTTAGTCTTCATGAAAAAATTTCGAGTTAAATCAAATTGACCTCTCATATAGCTAAGAATACTCACCACTCAGCAAAAAAGGATGGAACATTTAATGTTAGTTTTAGACCTAATAAACCGAAACAAATTTTTTGCGTATCTAATGAGCAATATATTCCTAATCACCCATTTGTTCGTAAAAAAGATGGATTATCTTAGCCTTAGCATATGAATACCCTGCTTAGTTGACAAATTTGCGAAATCCCCAGGAAGAGCATAATTTAAAAAAGGCCCTGTTGTAAGGCTACCATGCCAAATATACCTAGTTACATGACTACAAGCCCTCATTCCAGTCCTCGAATGCCAAAAATAAACGAAAAATATATACATAGAAGAAATCGTGACTTAAACTCTTCACTTCCAATTTCAAGATGGCGTTATTGGCGTAGCATGGCTGGAACACCCATATGTTATTTTATCGATCTATGGAAATCAATAGAAAGAGAAACAGTGCTTTACGTTAGTAAAGAACGTGATGAACGCCAAATATCCGAAATCAATGATTAAAATTTCCTACAGGGCAAAAAATATGATACAATAAGGATCAAATCTCACTTAAATCCAATTAAAAGTATGAAAATAAGCACTTCAAGTTTAAAAAAACGGACCAAGTTGGAGAGTAGGTCATGAAATGTTGTGGATGCATAAGAAAATGTCAGAGTAACCTACCCGACTTTTGCACAAATTAGACCACAAAAATAGACGTCCTTATTGACGGCTTTCATTCTAAAGCTCTGATAAAAATTGTGATCTACTTTGCACTTTTGTAGATCAGTGTCAGCAGATTTCGAAGTTGTGACAGTTTTGATAATGACTTCTTCAACCTCGATGAATGCAAATAAATGGAACTAATGTTGTGATTCGACCTTCTAAATGTTGCAATTTAGAATCGAAAGATGTTTGCTTCACAGTCTTATTGTTACGTTTGATAATTTGAGAAATTTCATATCTTTTAAATTAAAAATTATTCATAATTTTTATCAAATAAAATCAACTTTGAAATTTACTGTTATTTACCCATAAAATTTGCATATTCGTTAGTGTGCTAAGCTGTCTTGCAAAGCTTGGCATTAAGGCAATTTTATGCTCTCGAATTTTATGATTCTCGGCTAATTAGGTTCTAATAGTGGCGAGGCCATAGTGTTTTCATATTTGACAACTTTAGATCGGAAAGAGCACAACAAACTCAATTTTTCAACAAAAAGTGGCTGATTCAATAATCTATAAAAAATTGTGGGTATGCGAGTAGAACTGATATATCACCACAAGGAACAGAAGGAAAGTTATTGTGCTTTTGACTACCACAGAACTTATGAATCATTCACAATGAACAGGCCTCCAAAATGTCTTTGTCAGTTTTACCACATTCGATCCAAACTTACGCGCGTTTTCTGTCCTAACCGGAAATTGATCCTGCTAAACCTGTTTTACTCGCAAATGCTTAAAATAGAAACAAGGCTGTAATACATATCATCAGTCATATATACTCCCAAACATAGGCTTCTTGGTCTCACCTCTCTTCTATTCTTACCTGACATGTCCGAAGAAACTTATGCATAAATACGCTGATTTATAGTCAAAGCCCTCCACAGCCGGTAACGTCAATAATAGACACCCCCCCCCTTTAACCAGGTATTCGCCAATAGGGATCACGAAAAGTTCTGGACATATATGACATCCCCCTCCTGCCATGCAAACCAGAAACTCCAAGAGCTCAACGTTATCAACGACCTGACTATTACTTCAGGTACTTTAGATGACCTCGGAGAAGGTTCAAAGTGGATCCAGTACTCAGACGTATAGCTAACAAAATTTCGACGGAAAGTATTGAATAAAAGGAATAATTTTTTTAAAGAAAAATTAGCTGAACAATTTATTGTTAACTCTCTACAGAATTAACCTATTCGTCAGAATATATCAAACTGCTGGGTTGTTACCTTGCACGATTTTTAGGCTAAGTCTGCCATTAGGACAAATGTGTGCTGCCATTAGATTCTGGGAATTGAGACCATTAATCGGGGCTAATTTGATTGCTCCAGTTTTTTATTTATTTATTGGTAATGTGGTAGAATGGGCACTGACTTGGACACCTTTTCCAAAGGAGTCTATCGAAAGTTCAATTTTCTTGGCTCGACCCCTGGATATCGAAGGTTGTGGGACTCGTTGTCGCTCTGTGCGTCATCGTATGTCTGCATGTCTGCTCGCCAGGATTGGGAGGTGCGGCCGTACAACTCTGTGTGCAGCGACCGTACAAACAGTGACCAATCATTAACCTCTGTTTAACCTAATCCCCCATCCTGATCATTAGTAGCTCCCTGCGTGTACACGTTATCCGCAATACCCATACGGAATAAGCGTGCTCCGTGTTAATTCCCAGGGACTTTCGAGTCGGAAGAAACTGCTATAGAGCTTTCTGAGAATAGTCAAGGTTATTGAGGTTGCTAATCCGCTACAAGGTAGAGTTCATTTCCTTAATACTCCCTACAATATTTAAATAATTTATCTGATTTTATTGAATGGTTTTCATATCATTTTGACTTTTTTTACAACTTCTCAAATCATTGAGCAGCAGGACAGAAAAGACCTTCGAACACCAC